CTAAGACATGGGTGGGTAAATGTGCTCTTAACTGCTAGGCTACACTGCCTCCTTGTGGACCGGCCACACCAGGATTTCCAGAGACTGACTGACTTTTATACAACAGCATCCAAACAGGAAGCCGTGACTTTACACCCTGATGCTCCCAGCTCTGATGGTCTCCTGATCTTATATTTTGATGTATTTGGTTTCCCCAAAAGATACAGTGATGGATGGCCCTTGGATGTCAGCATCACTACATCTGGAATTAACTAAAACCCCAGCTGCTGGGCGATCTAGGCCATACCTTCTGGTGGTCGCCCTCTTAAAAGGACATGGGAGAAGGAAGCTTGTGCTTCCTGCCTGCTTGCCCTCACTCTCACGGGCAGGTTCACTTACCCTGACCCATTCCATGGGTGTTAGAGTCCACTTCTTTGGGATTCCAATGTGGACTGAAAACCAATCGGCATCTCTCTAGGACCTCCCTATGACTCCAGCACCAGATTGGGGCTGCTGAGACATCTGGTCTTGGGGACAATTCTGTTCCTTGAACAGAACCCTGACTAACACAAATACACAGGAAGCATTTTTACTATCTACTGCTATGGAGAAGCCAGCTATTGCTTCCAGACACGGCTTCCTTCTTGTCACCTCTGCATCTGCAGGTTCTGATAGTCATTAGTATTTACAAAGGGAAAAGTTACTTCGCACAACAGAATTGGATTTCAAAGGGCTAGAACTCCCCACAGTTCTGAAAATGGATACTAATGACCGCACGACACAAAAATAACGCAGGGTTCTACGCTACACACACACACACACACACACACACACACACACCACTGTTGCACGGAGCAAAGCATTCACAGAGCTAAGCAAACCAGCCCCTCACTGACTGGTACTCAGGAGTAGATTGTGTTTTCTGGTCACAGTTTTTAAAAGAAGGGCACAGCTTGAGCTATAAACACAGGAGACAACAGCCTCCCCTCTCCTGCTCTATCACGAAGCCTATTTTTCTGTCACCTTATGTAACTGTCCTGAGCCTTGAAGAGTCTGTAGTTACGGCTTCAGCTATGAAGAGTGCTGCGATTAAGATGTGTGGTGGACTGACTTGTTGGGGAACGGGGTGGTAGGGAGACTAAAAAATTAAGGAAGGAAAACAAAGTGTGGCTATAAAAAGCATCATCCTACTTCGTAAAGGGTCAGAAATTCTAAAATCAAGGAAAGAGTGGGTAAACTCTCAACCAAACCTTGCACCTATTTAATGTGGGTTTTACAGATAATACAGTATTCCACCACACCCGAGGCCAAACCACAGCAGGGAAAACTTGACCAAGATTGAGTCTGAGAGAACACGGCTTTGCCCCCACATAGGCTGAAGTGTGAGAAGGACCTGGAACCACCAGGACTCCCAAGTCTTCCTCTCCAGCTAGGATACCATGTTCCCAGCATGCTACACGGACTGACTTGGATGGAAACAGGCAGAATCGTGGCCGGGGATGTTCCATCTTGGAGTGGAAGTTGTGGACACTGGCTACTACTCCAGAGCCCCCAACATTTCAACCATCAACTTGCCATTGAACGTAGACTTGCATCCAAGTCTATGGTCTGCCCTTGGGGATGGAATATAAGGGTAAAAGGAAGGATGGTGGCCCATCCTTAGAGTAAACTGGGGCTCCCTAAATTAAACATCAATTCCTAAACACACAGGCGTCCCGCTGACAGCAATGATCCTGCTTAGGCTTCCAAGTCACTGGCAAGGAAAGGGAACCTCAGGTCCAGAACCTGACTTCCATTACTGGCTAGAAGAAAGCAAGGCGCAGGCGGGCTGGATATCTGCTGAGTCGTGGGACCAGTTACTCAGCGTTCTCTTTAAATCCCTCAATGCCTCTTTCTCTCTCCCACTACCTTTACTCCCCACGGGGTTTCACTCAGGCTGCACCCCAACTCACAACTCACTATGTTCTCCAGGTATCAGGCAAAAGACAATCCTCCTGCTTCAGCAGCTTTGCACTGACATTACAAGCAGGAGCTAAGACCCAAACCCCTTCCAGCTGAGCAGGAGGCGGTGCTTCTCAGTCTTGACTAAGAGAACCACCCACAAGTCATTCCCAGCTCCCACCCTGAGAATGGAATTAGTTTGAAGTGTCAGAGGACAAGGGAATTTCTCAAACCCTCCCGGGGGATTCTGGAGGCTGGGGGAGGGGTGGTGAGGTAGCTCCGTAGGCAAATACTTGTTACCTGCAAGCCTTATGATCGACTTTGAGCCCCACAGAAACCAGACGCACTGGCTCACATCTAACCCCACGGCTACTACAGGGGAAGCACACTGAGGCTTTCTGGCCAGCTGGCTGGAAGTCTGCAACGCCTCAGGGATGTGAGAGATTCTGCCTCAAATACATGGTGGGAGGAAAGAACAGGCCCCCAAAAGATTCCCTGACGTCACATGTGTATTTTCATTCTCTCTCTCTCTCTCTCTCTCTCTCTCTCTCTCTCTCTCTCACACACACACACACACACACACACACACATACACAGTTTTTAAAACAGATTCCAAGGTTACAGGAACCGTCAGAATCTCCCTTTTTGGGGAGGGTCACATTTGTAGAGAAGTTACACTTTCTCTCTCAGAGGGATGGTTCTGGCTAACTGAGAAACAATCCGCTTGTGCAAGGGCCATCCTAGGCCCCCTTGAACTGACTCCTCACCAAGTAACTGTCTGCATCCACACTGTCCCCAGAGGCCTCCTCCAGACCCTGGAAGGCAGATCCTGCCCGTGGGTCTGGCTTGGGCTCCGCTGGATCAGGGACGGCCAGGCTCTTTAGCACCAAACTTCACATCTTCAGATCTATGCACGTGCCAGGCAGCTCTCACAGGGTTTCCAGCCACAGTGCTTCCTCTCGGAGCTCCAGTCTGTAGTGGCTGCTCACAGCTACTGGTCTGGTGGATATCTCCTGTGGAACTCCTGAGGCCAGCCCAGTTAGCTAGTTCTAAAATCAGACATCCTGAGCCGCCAGTGTGCAACCCCGTAAGGACCTGGCTGCCACTGGGCCTGTCACCTGTCGCTACTACTTGATTCTCTTTTACATCCCGTGCTGGCTCTTCTGCCAGCCCTCAGTACCTTGAGGTTTCACATGCACAGGTTCAGGCAATCTAGAATATCTCTCTCTCTCTCTCTCTCTCTCTCTCTCTCTCTCTTTTCATAAATAAAAATTGCATTCACAAGAACAGGCACATACCTTTCCTTCTTGTCATTAAAAAAAAAAATAAAACAGTATAACAACTATTTATATACATTTACAACTACCAGGTATCATAAGTGGCCTAGAGATGATTTAAAGTACATGGGAGGATATGCATATATTATGCATACACTATATCATGTATACACTATATTATGCATATGCTAAATTATGCATATGCTGTTATGCATATGCTATATTATACATATGCTATATTATGCATATGCTATATTATGCATATGCTATATTATGCAATGCTATATTATACATATGCTATATATACAAGCTCCTACTGTTTTACATAGAAAACTTTGCCATGTGTAGATTTTAGTATCAGAGGGATGTCTGTGGCATAGCTGTGCTCAATAGTACCTCCTTTCATGTGCTTCTTGCCTAAGGCCTGTCCATCTCCACACCCTCCGGAATCCAAGCTCTATGAAAGTGACAAGCCTGGCAAGCTCACCACTTCCTCCTCTGAGTCTGAAACCACTTCTGGAAACTAGCACCAGTCATTAGCAATCACCACCTTATCATTCCAGAGAGTGTCCCCGCTGTTCACTGGATGCACAGCAACCATCTCCTTCCTCCCTCAGACCTCTATTCCCCCAGCACACCTCCTCCTTAGAGCACCGTCATCGCCTTCTGCTACATCTGATATTTACCTGTTCTGTTTCCCTCAATCAAACATGTCAGCAAAGCTTCCAGCCCCTGGCACTGAGTCCACATGTCAATGAAGTGTAGCTGAAGGTTGCTGCCAAGAGAGACACCACTGTGTCTTGGTTATTTATAATTTATACGGCCATTTACTTTCAGAGAGGATTTACAATTGGCCATGTACACTTCAGGACAGCCTGTGTAGAGCAACAATTGTCACAGCTCAGAGGCTTTCTGTCTCTCTCTGCAGGCTGAGCTCTGGCCAGCACTTCAAACCTTTTTCAGGGATCTCAGGCTCTCTTTTTGCCTGAAGCAAGCTCAGTTCAAAGTGAGACTGCACTTGCCTAAGTGCCTGGTATCTGGGAAGAGCACTGTCTAAGGCTCTGCCCACTTGGTCAGCCACTCATGTCGACTTTTATTAAGATTCTGTTGTGATGCTGTTCTGGGATCTGAAGATACAGCAGAGAATAAAATTGCTTTTTTGCCTTTAGGGCAAGTGCTGGATGAATTATCACCTGAAGTGGCCAGGGGGGCTGTTCCTTGCTGCTGGGGGTTTAGCCCCTACCCTGCATTTACTAGATAGAGGAGGGGTGCACCTCATTCATTGGGAGGATGGAGGAAACAGGCATGACTCACGGTTCATAAATACACTACGCTCTGCATTCTCAATCTGCACTATTGGAAGAAAAGCCAGTGTTTGGGTGAGGATCCTGGTTGCTCATTATCTTGCGGTTGATTGGCCAGTTTTGGTTGAATGGTGTTGGAGGAAAGCCTTTCCTAAGCCTTTAAGATATTTAGTTCCTTAAAGAGGTGACATGCCACCACCAGGGACACTCAGTACACTGGGAGTTGTTCCTTCCTCGCCCAAATCCACACAAATTTGACACCCTGGGAAGGAGATGGGGCAGGTATGAGTAACCAACCATGGCACTGGAGAGGAGGAATTGATTTCAAATCTTCAGCGATCCTGTAGAACAAGATCTGCGCTATGTAGGAGGTGCAAAAGGAAGCCCGCCTCCAGAACCAGCGACCCCTGGATCAGGGCTGCGGCCTGTCCCGGCCCCACCCGCGCCCCGCAACAAGTGTCTGCCCTCCCAACCCCCGCGACGGCGGCCCGGTCCTCACCCGGCACAGGCCGTCCACGAACACGCGCGGGTCCAGGTGGCAGGCGATGGTGGCGCTCGGCAGGTCCTGCAGATCCACCTCCTCCATCTCGCAGTCGATGAAGCTCCAGTCGCCGCCGCCGCCCCCGTCCCCCTCGGCAGCGGCTGAGAAGGGCGCGAAGGGCCGCAGAGTCACCCTGCGGGGCGCCCGCGCCTCGACCGCCTCCGCCACCTCTCCGAGCCCCGGCCCGGCCACGCCGTCCTCCATGCCCGGCGCGCGCTCTCTCGCTCCGCTTCGCTCGGCTCGGCGCCGCGGCCGCCGGCTCCCGCTTCACCCTCTCGGGGTCACCGCGGCTCCCGGACGCCGCCTTCCAGCGCCCGCCCAGTCCCCCTCCGCCTCACGCGGGAGGGGCGACCAGCCTGCGCCCGCCGGCCTTGAGTCCTGGCTCGCGCGGAGACCAAGAGCGTTCCCTTTAAGGTCGGCCCACTCGGGCCATTAAGTCCCGCCTTTCCTATAGAACAGACCAATGATACAACAGGATTTTTGTCACGTGAGTTTCACTCTGCCGCCCTAAGCCTGAAGCCTTAGAGCGGCCATATTTGTTAGGGGCAGAGGCCTCTGGCCACTTCTGCTTTTCTGACAGCTGGCGGTGCCTGTTGAAGGACACAAGCCGGGTGTTAGCCTGCGGGACGGTAGCCCGGGAGGCAACGCTTCTGCGATTCCCACGCGGCGACGTTTGGAAACACGCAGCCAACTTTGAAGGACTTAAACTAAATCTAGTTAGAGGTTGCGTTCGGTCGGTAGACATTAGCAGTGCTTAGATACTTAGTGCATATTACCGTGGAATCACAAATAAGATTTAAATGACACCGTGGTATGGCTTTATGTTTATACTTCAACGTATTATTTATTATGTCACCGTCCAATTTTTAGATAATTAGAAGCATTCTAGCACAAAAATGAGTGGGTTTCAATAATTATTTTCATACATATATTGTGTATTTGTGTATACACAGATACCACTGTATTTTGCTCACATCTGTCTCCTGTTGCCCTCCCTTGTGCTCTTTCTCCAATTCTGCTGGCTGCCTCGCTTTCCTCTAAAACTTCCCTTTCTGCTTTAGAATCTCAAGGGGGGAAAAAAAGCCATGTGTATCAATGACTTTTCTGTTACTATGATAAAATACCATGATCAAGGCAATTTATAAAAGAGTTTATTAGAGTTCAATATAGAGTCCCAGAGGAATAAGAGTCCATTGTGGTGGGTAAGTAATAGGAATGGCAGCTGGAGCCAGATGCCAACCACAACCATGGAGCAGAGACAGCAAACTAGAAACAGGTTGAGCCTGTATGCTATCAAAGCCCACCCCCAGTGGCTCACTTCCTCCCTAAACCTCCCCCAAACAGTGCCACTAACTGGGGACCAATGTTTAAATGCCAGAGTCCATAGAAGACACTTCTTATTCAAACCATTGTGTACACTAGGACAGAGGATCTCAATCTGTGGGACTTGAACCCTTTGGAGGTCCAACAACCCTGTCAGAGGGCTTGCATATAGATGTCCTAAATATCAGATATTTAGACTACAGTTCCATAACAGTAGCAAAATTGTAGTTATGATGTAGCAACAGCAAAATAATTTTCTAGTTGGGGGTCACCACAATATGAGGAACTGTATTAAAGGGTCACAGCATTAGGAAGGTTGGGAACCATTGCAGTAGGACATGAGACAAGACATTGGGCCTTGGATTGGGGGGATTCATTAAAGGGAAACAGGACCTCAAGTGAGCACTATGCCTGGACAACTCATCAGAGTGAAAACTACTGTGTGTTTCACCTTTCTGTTAATTGTAATAGGATACTTATTCTGCTACATTGTATTCACAGTGGAGCTCCGTGATTAGGCAGTAGAAGAGGAGGTGGAGCTGGGAAAGAAAGGGAGAAAGGGGAGGGGAGAAAAAGAGGAAGGGGAGGGAGAGATAGAGGAAGGGGAGGAGAAAGGAGGCTATCAGCCATGGAGAACCACGGGTCGAAAGCGTCCTGGATAGCAACGTCTATCAAAAGGTTAGATATTGGGTAACAACTCTAATTGTGTGGGCATCTTGTTGATTGAGCATTTCTAAATATATAAATCCTTTAGATAATCATTAAGCTTTAAGAGTCTCATTTCTACCGGGTACTGCGAGGATGGCAGATATTGTCTGGGTTCAGCCGAGCTTTGTGGATGCAGCGTGGGGGATTGGCAGAGCCATTTCCCATGCTGTCTTCTCATGGGTGCCAGGGCCTGCGCATCTAGCTAGCCGGAGCCCTGGTCAGAGCCGAGAAACAGCAGGAACATGGTGGCTGCCTGGGAACAAGCTGGACTGGGCAGTTTTCTAAATATCACCCCTACAGTTAGTTACCTGCAGAGTGATGGAGATCCTTCATTTCTAATTAAATGAGGTCATATGGGGAAGAATTCAGTATGTGCTCTGTAAATGGTACCTCTGCTTGTGCAGTTAGGTTCTTGGGGGAATGTTGAGTTAGGTCTGTATTTTCTCCTAAAGCAGACACACCATCTAGTCAAGAAGTGGATCTATTATCATAAAATGTACACCCAACTAGAGCTGAGATTTATTCAAAGTATGCCATGTGTAAGGCATACTGGGGTTGTTATGATGCCCTTGTGAATAGAAGAGAAGAAATAATTCACAAAGCCCTGAGGGTGTGAGAATGGGGAGAAAAAGAACTGTCTCAGGCCTGTCTCCTGGAAAAGAAAATCTAGAGTTACCATGTGACCCAGAAGTTCTTCTTTTAGGTCTAATCCAAAGAAAAATAAAATCATGCGGCCACACACAGACCCGCAGATGACAGCTCCTGGCATCAGTGTTCATGCTGATGTCATTCATATAAAGAATTGGAATAGCCCGTGAATGGACGCACCAGGAGAGCATCTGTACCGGGAGAGCATCTGTACCGGGAACGGGTCCACACACAAAGGAAAGAAGTATTAATATTGTCACTCCCATGATGAATCTTGGAGACATGATGCTAATGAAAGAAGAAGTCACTCACAAAATGGCATATATGAAATGTCCAGATCAGGCAAATATACAGAGACAGAATAATCGGTGGCTGCCAGGGACTGATGGGAGGGAAATTGGGATTGACTGAAAATGAGTCACAACTAAAACTGATTGTGGTGATGTCTGCCCGACTCCTTGTATATTGGAAAAATCACTTGGTTGTGCTTTAAAGGGTAAATGTTAAAGCAAGTGATTGTCTCGTCATAGCCAGTATTTTTAAAATAGAGTATGATATGATAAAGGCCATGCAGGATTAGATTGAAGTTCAGCAGAGAGGACAACATCACAGAACCCTCTGCAAACCCCAGCCAGACATTCTGAAAAGGATAACAAAAGGAACGAGGCCCCGGTTTTGGAAAAACAACACCCAGCCAACCAGTTGCTGGGTGGGTCTGTCGTATTCATCCTTGGGACAGGGCGTTGTTTTGTGGCTGGCTCACTCTATCTAAGCCCTTCATGGCACACAGAGCAGGCCTGATGGGCAAAGACAGTGAGGGGAGAGAGCACTCCATGGAGACAGAAACCCAATATGTGGTCAAGTGTACCATCCCAGCTGGCTCTCTGTGGCAGCTTTGAGGCAGGAGAATTGGGTACAACCTCAGACAAGTGGCAAGGACAATGTCATCTGTAGCTAGTTTTAGAGTGCTAATGGTCACTAGTAAGATGTGAATGAAGAATATTCCTGCTTCGTCCTCCCTGGGCAGCCAAGCAAAGTGAGAGTGCTAGTTCTTAGATCATCAGCCAAGTCCCCTCAAGGTCCCACCCAAGTCCCACATGGGTGGTCGCCCGTCTCTCTGTCTCTCTGTCTGTCTTTATCTCTCTCTGTCTCTCTCTGACTATCTCTCCTCTCCCCCTCCTTCCCTCCCTGTCTCTCTCTGCCTCTCTCTGTGTCTCTCTGTCTCCCTGTCTCTTTCCTCCCCCCCCCACCCCCTGTCGTTCCTCTGTGCTATGGGCACATGAAGAACAGAAAAGGATTTGGGATCTCCTGAAGCTGGAGTGACAGATGGTTGGGAGGCTCCTCGTATACCTGCTGGGAACTGAACTTGGGTTTCCTGAAAAAGCAGCGAGTAATCTTACCTCTAAACAGCCATCTCTTCAATCCCAGACAACTTTTTTTTTTTTGCTTTTAATGTAATAGTCCATGCATGCATCTGTAAGCCAGCTCACATCCTCAAACATAGGGGCTCCTCCTGCAGTTTCCTAGCGCAAAGGGAGGCACTGTGCACCCGTCAAAGGGCTTTCCCTCGAGCAAACAGGCAGCAAGCAGAACCCAGCCCTTCTCATGCTCTCTTGGCCCTTTTTGGTTCCACAGCAAAGGAAAAATGGAGGGGTCTAAAGAGACATGACCAAAGGGTAGAGGAGAAGAAAAATAAGGCAAAGAAAAAGAAGAGGAAAAGTGAGGAGAGCAGGAGCTAGTAAGAGGAAGGAGCAGAAATAAGGATCCCAAGAGAAAGTTCAGCCTCCCTCCACAGGCTACCCTTCCGTGGCACACTCGGACACACCCAAACCAGCTCTGGCAGCATGCATGTTAGGCAAAGCCTCTTAAATGCCAGGTCAAAATGTTGTATACAAATAGGACAAACATCCTGCCTTTCATACCTGGGTAGCCATCCTTCTTGTTCCCCACAGGAAACATATTTGATAATAAAATGTTCCATGTCTCTTTGCACTTAGACTGTAGCATTTTCTAGTCACTGGAACTTTCACCGTGCCTTTTAAATTGGAGCTTAATTAAGCTGTGCCTTATGCTTCCAGTGACACTATCTGTATCAACAATCAATAGCTGTTCCCAAAGAGGTAAAAATAGACAGTGAAGCTGTCAACAGCACAGGCAGAAACGAAGTGTGACACATCCCCGGAATAAACATAATCGGCCATTTCTGAAGGGGAATCAACTGAACTTGGAGGCCACCTTCTTAGAGAACATGCTACCATAAAGCATCAAGGATTCTCCAGGCACCTTTTTTGGCTTGATAACTGTAACCCTTTTACTGGCTGCCACCATGGAACATCAACTCTTCCTAGTGTCTGACTAGAGAGATTTCCTTTCTTACTGGCACCAGACTTGGTGCTTGCAGGTGATTTGATCCAGATGGAAAGGAAGAGATGAAGAACTACTCATGTTTTCTCAAATAGGGTAGGAGTGTTTTAGTTGGTATACCCCCCTTCCTGTCACTCACGTCTCCCCTTATGCTTATGTTG